CCCTGCACCCCCGGCTTCCTGCGATTCACCATGACTCTCAGCCAGCCAGTAAAGCAGAAGGTTTATTTAGACGACAGGAACACAGTCCAAGACAGGTCTTGCAGGCACAGACAACAGGACCCCCTCAGTTAGGTCCATCTTGGGGTCCCAGGGGCACCACAGCCCTGTTGGGGGGTCAGAGCCTCATCTGGGCTCCCCTCCATTAGCAGCCAGCTCCTGAAACTCCAACTCCCTCCAGGGTCTCTCACCCAGCCTCCCCCCAGCTCCTCCCTCAGCCTTTGTCCAGTTTCCTGGGCAGAGGTGTCACCTCGCCTCCAACCCCCTTCTTGGGTTCTCACGTTACATGCTCAGGTATTTTCCCTCAAGGCCAGTCTCCCATCCCCCAATGCAGACCGTCCCAGCCAAACTCCCCACTCAGCATTCAAAGACCACATTAAGAACAGTCCCAGTTCTTCACAGGGAGCACCCTGTAACCCCCATATTCCTCATTTATATATATAATTGTGATCTTGCAGGCCACATGAGGTATCAGGGGAAAGGTTATGATCTGCTGAAAGTTATTTTTCTGTCCATATATGTATATCATTAATGCATATGAAATTATGAGAATTGTGTTGTATGGTTATCACTAAAACATGCTGTAAGTTGGAGAATCAGCCAGATATTAGCTCCCCAGCTGATCTGAGAGGACATGTTCATCATGGTCTAATCTTGTGCCATCAGAACCAATATATTTTTATTTTATTAATATTTATGAACATTTTTAACTCTTTAATATGACAAAATCGATATCAGTTAACAAAAAAATTATGTCTTTTACCAAATCACATCTCTTATTTGCTTAAATTTGCCCCTCTACGCTGAGAGAGTGTGTCACATTTTGGTCCAATAGGGATGTGCGTAAAAACAAGTTGTGAAACTTACCAAATGCCAAAAAATTAACAAGTGTCTAAATTTGAGGCCCCCTTTGAGCTTGAGGCCCAGGCCAAATGGCACTCCTGGCCTCCCCTCTGATTGGCCCTGCTCACACATACACGGTGTGAGGGTGTGTGTGTCTCTCTCTCACACACACACACACACAGTGTGTGTCTCTGTCTATCACACACACACGTGTCGCTCTCTCTCTCTTTCACACACACACACACACAATGTCTCTTTCTCTCTCTCTCGCTCACACACACACACGGTGTATGTCTGTCTCACATACACATGCACCTCCTGGCACTTTGGAAAGTGGAGGGAGTGGTGTGCTGCAGTGGGATAGCGTGGGTTCATCATCATGTTCAGTTTTCGCAGGGAAAGTTTGCAGCCACTGCTATGCATCTATTGTGTCTCCTCCCTCCATTCGTGCTGCCTGGTAGAGTGTGAGGCTACATTAACAACAATGTGTTAACCCTTGAGGGCTTAGCCGAGTGCTAGTTCATCATTTAGCAGTAAGGCATTCCCTGGGAAATATCCCACCCTCTTCCACCCTCTGACTCCACCAGCTCAACCAAGCTTCACAATCATCATTGCGGTGTACAGTATTAAATTGTTTGTTTAAAACTTATACTCTCTCTCTCTCTCTCTGTGTGTGTATATATATATATATATAGTGTGTGTGTGTGTGTGTGTGTG